ACATGTAAGTAAAATGTATACTAAGATCATGACACATTTTTATACTTTTCTACTGTTGGTTACAAATAATATCTACAAATTCTAACTACATTCTCTTTATTACCTTAATATTTAATGATCTGGATTAAAGTATGTTTTATATCCAAATATGTTACACCTAGCAAGGCAAAATTTTCAATAATGAATTGCATTTAGTCATAACTCTTTCGCATTTTTTAAAATTATTAATCATTTAAATATTTCAGGTGTATAACTTGACACCTAACATAAATCATTAACTTATTTTCAATTTCAGGGTAAAAATTCATTTTAATAATTGTTGAAAGGCATTGTATCATTGTGCTAATGACTATAGCAAAAATATTGAATAAAATCATGTTAATAAACAATTTTTCATATCTTATATTCCTAGACAAAATTAGTCAATACTTAAACATGGAGACAATGTTCAGACGAAGATTTATTCATTTTTTTCTCAAGTTTAGAAAGGCATCTATACATTCTGTATATAACTGTTTTTTGTGAAGCAGTCATTACATATTTTGGTTGTTATATCTCTCATAAACTTGAAATATGTCCTATAGCCACATATTAGTCAGAGATAGAAAACTTTTTCCTACAATGCTTATTTTGTGTATTATAGCCAATGAACATTTTGTTGTGTTTATTGCATTTTTTCAATTTGTTGGTCAACTAACATTGATTTTTGAGTAAAAATTATTAGTTGATGCATATCATAAAGTTTCATGGCTCAGATAAGGATAGAAAACTGACCATCATTGTAACGATGGACGACCCAACCAGCAATGTAAAATTTTGAGGAATAAAGTATATATATTTTAGAACGAGTACATTATAAAATGAGAAGATGATTCAGAATACAGATGGTATAATATACTGTTTGTATAATATACTGTTTGTTACATTTGGATCATAATACTGTGTTCGTATCATTAAGAGAATGTATTTCAGAATAAACTTGTTAAAATACTAATGTGTGCCCAACACACGTCAAACTTTTCAAAATATGAGACAATATTATTTGATAGCGCATCTTTAGAACAGAAAATTTTAAGAAAATATGTTTTAATTTGGTTGTTCTATTAAAATTTGTTATTAAAATATTATAAAAAATGTTTCAATATTTTTCAGTCATGGAACAACCACATTGATATAAGTACAAATTTATTTCATAATTTCGTTCAGTGGAGGTTTGAAACATTTTAGAGAAACTGTTTCCCTCATCGTATGTAACTTAAACTGTGTTTACAAAATTAGTTCAGAATGAAGGGACAAAATTGGTATTTACAATATTGGCCAAATTTAGTTATTTCATTGATAGAAAATATGTTGAATTCCTGTCTTATATCTTCATTTCTTTATTTTATCCCAAGTGTTAGGGCGCAACGTTTTACTCTTAGGAGGAATTTCATGTCAGAGTCTTGTATTTCATTTGTTTACATGTTGTCCATGATTCACACCTGTAAAGCAATTGTGGTGCAGCCATGATTTGGTAGAATTTTTACAGTGTCTCCTTTCTAGTTAAACATTTTCAAAACTTGCAAATGTTTGCATATTGTTTTAATGTTTGCTTTACAATTTACAATTAAAAGGTCTGTGGCAAGTCTTTAAGCAAACATATGGGTTGATGCTAATAATTACATTATTGGTATAAACGTTTTTTGTAGTAACTAGCGGAAAACTTTTGTTTGAACCACTCCCGGAAGTCAACCACGAATTACAAACATTTTGCGGTTGAGGGTACCTGGTAGACTAGGGGACCACCAGGCAGCGGTGGTTTAGAGTCCCATGGAGGTCCACACATGCCGCTTACGTCAACAAACATAGCTGTGCCAAATTTTACTCTTGATTCTGGTAGGGAGAACCGTATTTCAATGTGCGGCAAGCATTCTTTTTTTTCAGTGTGTTGTTGATGTATTCAGTCTAACATAATATCTTGTTACTGCAGATCTGCTACATAATCTATAATTTGTAGTAGTTTGACAGAAGATATTTGAAACCTAGGCACCCATATAAAGATGATTTTCAAATACGTGTATTTGAAAAGTTCATTAGACTTCATGTTATTACAAGTAAAACCAGTATTTGAAGTATTAAACCAGTATTTGAAGAATTAAATTATGAGGTGATATCATCTGAGAGAGAGAATACAATTTTTTGAAGCGGTTTCACATACTACGTATGACACTCTTGAACATTTACATCCGAAGACATCCTATGCGGCAGAAGTAAAGTAAAAAAATTATTACAGTTAACTGATATTGTGAGAGATTCTTGATTTAAAGAATATAGTGCACAAACATCTAAAGTTAAAAGTCCTTCTTATTTATCCATCTAAAATCCTTCGCACGGAATAATCTTCATATTTACATACGTGTAAGTTATTTTGACATTAAGATCATTAACATTGAAGACTATCTATCTTGAATCAGTATTTTAACGTATTTTCGGAAACATCAGAAAAATTCATACAAACTGTCATTTGTATCTGATGAAACATTCAGTTGTTATAACTTTATTGAGCAGAAGTACAAATGAAATTATTAATTGATGAAGGAAATACCTCTGAATAAATGTCCCAATGAATTAAATAGAAACAGGAAGTAGAACGTAGACTTTCAATTTCTTGAATGCTAAATACTCTGCACAAGAACTTTTCATGACGTCGCGGATAAAATAATAATAATAATAATAATAATAATAATAATAATAATAGCCAAGCTATACCATCAAGGAATGAGGATTTTTTCAGGGAGATAGTCTTAGTCCCTTATGGTTCTTCAGAGCTCTAAACCCTCTCAGCAAAATGTTCAGAGATTCAGGAATGGGATTTGAAATCACCAAAAATCCCCATATCCTTATTAATCATCAGTTTTACATGGACGATCAAGTTTTATGCCAGAGACAAGACCAAGCTTTCCTCGTTGCTTGAACTTGTTAAGTCCTTTAGCGACTCTATTGGTATGGAGTGGAACAAATATCCAAGAACTTGCGCTAGAGAATACCTATAAATACGTATTTAGAACTGCATCAACTTTTGAGCATAAGTGACGCAAGGATGTTTATGTGACTTTTAAAATAGTCTCTCAAATAGTTTTAAAAATCTGTAAAACTCATTTAAATGGAAAGGATCTCGTATCAGCTATCAACACTTGGATAGTACGTGTCACTGTACATTTGATGTTCTTCACTGGACAACTGCACTGCAGGAAATTAATCGAAACGTTAGAACCACTGTTACGAAGTATCTTACGCACCATAACAACAGTTTAATGGGAAGACTATACTTACCTTGGAAAGTAGGAGGTAGAGGGCTTCCAGATATTGAGTCCTAGTGCAAAGCAAATCAACAATCTTCGCTAGTTACTTCAGAATACTTCCTTCAGAAAAGGACGGTCATGAATGAAGCAATTTGTGCCACGGACAAGAATTTTACCTCCCTGAACCTGAATCAAACGGACTCTGAAAGACCACGTATCACCAAAGAATAGGCTGAGTAAGTGGACACAGAAGCGTTTGCACGGCAGGTATCCTGCTGAGCTCAAAGGGAACGCCATGAATATGGGATTGTCAGTCTCCTCTCTAGCAAAATCTGGCATTTTTTAATGAAACAGAAGGGTTTATCATTTTTATTCAGTACAAAGAAACCTCCACCTGCAATTACCTAAGGCATGTGATTGGGGAAATGAGTGTAGAGGGCCGCTGTTGCCTTTGCAATGAAACCGGCGAAACCCTCCAACGCATAATAGGAAGGTGATCTGCTTTGGCACAAACAATACTTGAGTCGGCACAACCAAGTAGCTGCAGATAGTCCATCAGGCCCTGGCTGCAAAGTCGGAGATGGTACAGAAAGAGGTCTCATACTACACGTTCCAGCCGAATCCATTTTTGGAGTTGAAACGGTGGAAGCTCTTTTGGAATGTAGCAGTCGCCACTGATGGCAGGCTCGAAGCCAACAGACCTGAGACCCAATAATATGGATTGATAAAGCTTCACAGATAGACATTATAGTCGACATAGATATCTCATTAGACCGAAATATAATTTCATCTAAAGCCGAGAAGAAGCAAAAATACCAGGCCTTGGCAATTGAACAGAGCGACATGTGGCAGTTAGTATCTGTACGCAGGTGAAGCAGGCCCCTTGGTTCTCGAAAGGTCCTGGTGTCTCCTGTAGGACACCTCGCTAAGCGAGACACTTGGAAGATAATAATAATAATAATAATAATAATAATAATAATATAAAGAGTAAAATTTGTCTACTTTTTACTTTGATACTGTGGAAAGGGAATGTCCATGGTATTCGCCTTGGAAAGAGACTTTCCACGGTATGTACCGGAAATTCCACTCCGTACCTTTGTACTAAGGGCAATTTATAATTTTGTATAATTATTAATCAAACAAAGGGTGGTCTCTCTCGTGCGTACATTTTCTCCTTCATGCATGCTATTGTGTTCTGGAGCATTCTCCACCTACCTGTACAGCATTCGCTCTTGGCGGTCGGCCTCCACATATATGCGGTAGTACATGAAGATCATGATGACGCCGGGCACCCAGAAGGAGACGCTGGAGGAGATGACGGCGTACGGCTTGTTGACGGTGAAGGCGCACACGTCCTGGTGCTGGCGGCGGAAGCGCAGGTGCTCCTCGGTGGTGTACCAGCCCAGGAAGATGGGCAGGAAGGACACGAGCGCGGGTGAGCACCACACCACAGCCAACATGGCGGCGAGGCGCGCGGGCGTCATGATGAGCGGGTAGTCGAGCGGCTGCACGATGGCGTAGTAGCGGTCCACCGAGATGCAGCACAGGTGGAGGATGGACGCCGTGGAGAAGTACACGTCCAGCGAGTTCCACACGTCGCACATGAAGTACCCGAACAGCCACACGCCGCCCGTGAGCTCGACGCTGGCGTTGAAGCACATGGCGCACAGCGCCACCAGCATGTCGGCCAGCGCCAGCGACACCACGAAGTAGTTGGTGATGACGCGCAGCTTGCGGTGGCGCATGACGCTCACGATGACCAGCAGGTTGCCGAAGAGCGCGGCCACGATGATGAAGCCCATGGCGCACGACTTGAGCACCACGACGAGCACGAGCTCCCAGGCGGCGGCGCTGGCGGCGGCGGCGGCGTCGCCCGGGGAGGCGGTGCCG